TGGATTCTCCCCAAATTAAACAGCACACCGCATCAATGGTGGGATGGTGGTTTTTATTGGAAATCCAGACATGTTGTCCATCATATTGCAGTTTATTCCCTTTGCTTTTTAATATAAAAAATAAATTTACATCAAAGCAATTATTCTATGGTCACTGATGCGATTTCATTATAATTTTGAGCTGAGCAGCCAAATGATAATGAAATTCAGAAACCTGCCCAAAACTCACAAATTACTCAGTTATCTCCAAGAATCATTCTGATTTTTTTCAACTCCATAACCAATTTCATCTTAAGGATTATTAAGAAAGGCAAATACGTAACTCACATGAGATGATAGGAGATGTTACTAATAGGACTTTACTTCTATATTCTTACCCCCCCCTTTTTTTTTTTGCAATGCAAGGTACAGAATATCCTGTAGATTTTTGGGGGGGTTGTTGTTTAATCTTTTTTTAAAAATGAAATAAATCATAAACTAGTGTGAACTAAACTGAAGTTTGGAAACATGAGAAAACAAAACTGATAAATTTCTCAATCCCTAGTTGTTCCAAAGCAGTCACTGAACTTTTGCCTCAAGTAGAAGGTCCAAAGTGAATGTTGGAGGTCCACCACCAATTAAACCTCTCAGGCACAATTGAAACATATGCCTGGCTTAGTTAAAAAAAATTCATGTGTGGCCTTCCATTCTTAAACATGACCTTTCGCCCGACAGCTGCAGCAGGAGACCACCAGCCTGCACTATAGACCCCTCATATGCCAACTGTGAAACTGCAGCCAGGCTTCCCCTCTGATTTCACAAGTGGCGTTTGGGCAGTGGAGGGGAGGCAGCAGCAAAAAGGCAATGCAAATAACTGGGTGGGTAGGCAAAACTAAAAAATTCAGAGGACAGAGGTTACCATTATGAGAAAAGGAGACAGAAAGCACGCTTACTTTTTTTAAAGAACTCAAAACAAAAACAGAACACTTTTGCTGTTGCTTCAAGCAGCTGTACAGCTGCAAACAGCAGCCCAGTAGCCAGTCAGTATCCTTCTGCAAGATGGAAACAGCACTTAATGCTAAGTGTTAAGATTCTGTCACAAACACTTGTGAAAGAGGCTGAAAAGACTCTTTCAGGAGGGTTAGGCCCTGTGCTTCTTTAAAACAAAACTTCAGGTTTCACTGATTCCCACTGATTCCAATGACACAAGTCCAAGACATCAGCAAAGGCTTTAAAGATACCCCTTCCCTTCTTTTCCTGCTCCAGATTCAATAGCAACATGGGACTGTAGCCAAGACATCCCCCTTAATGCAGAACAATATCTCCATCATTCTGCACATTGCAAATATAGGGGTTAAAATGCCTCTGGGAGCTGGAGCCAAACTGGATGGGACCTAGAAATTGATTAGAGTTCCTGACTTTTTTCCCAAGGCTTTTTCAAAGCAGCCATGAATTGTGTGTGTGCAAATTAGACTGTAGGGTTCCAGCCTCATATAACTTTAGTATGTTTAAATCTAATTAGTGCATGAAGGGGTTAAAACCATAGAGTAAGCTGTCCTGCCAAGCTTAGCCTATGTTGTCACTTCCTTACTTGAGAGGCAATGGAACTAGCTGAAGTCTGAAACTAGCTCTTTTCTCTATCAATTGTTTAGAAACTTTTATGTTTAGTAGCCAAGAAATGTCTATGACTTACCAAATGCGTGGTCTATCTCTGTGCTAGGGAAGTGGACATTTTGGAACTGATCTGAAGAGCACATTTTAAAGGTTTTACAGCCTATATGTCCATGTTTTTCTTGGCTGCATGTTTTGCGATGTTAAATCTCTGCTGGGGCTTTCTCACCAAAGAGTACTTGCCCCAAACTCAAGCCTTGGTTCCAGGATTCAACAGAAGCAACAGGAAAGAAGGAGGGAGGCTTAACCCACCAATGGCATGTCTCCGATTTAAATTCACACGTGCACCAAAGCTGCTGTCAGATTCAGAAAGGAAGAAAGTCAGGCAATATCGTTATTGTGTGTGTGAATTTAAATCGGGGGAGCCAGTGTGGTGTAATGGTTATAGTGTTAGACTAGGACCTGGGAGAGCAGGGTTTGAATTCCTACTCAGCCATAGCTCACGGGGTGACCTTGGGCCAGTCACCATCTCTTAGCCTAACATACCTCACAGGGTTGTTGTGAGGAAGAGAGCCACATGCACCAGCCTGAGAACATTGGAAGATAAATGAGGGAAAGAAATGTAATAAATAAATAAACCCTCCCCCAGCACTGTATCCCCGAAGCAATCCAAGACCATTGTGGTAGCTTTTAAGTCTTTAAAATGCCAAATTACAGAGCCCCTATGCACATCTGCTTTTGTCCCTTAGGTCGGGAAAATGAGACTGTGATGTATGAATATGTGAAAATGCCTTATACTGATTTGAATAATTGATCTATCTAGCACAATACAGTGGGACCTCAGGTTAAGTACTTAATTCGTTCCGGAGGTCCGTACTTAACCTGAAACTATTCTTAACCTGAAGCACCACTTTAGCTAATGGGGCCTCCAGCTGCCGCCGTGCCGCTGGAACACGATTTCTGTTCTCATCCTGAAGCAAAGTTCTTAACCTGAAGCACTATTTCTGGGTTAGCGGAATCTGTAACCTGAAGCGTATGTAACCTGAAGCGTATGTAACCTGAAGTACCACTGTATTGTTTATTTGTGGAGTATTTTAAATGGAGGTGCTGGAGGCTGAACCTGGGTATATTACAGATGCAACACATGTGCTCCCAATGACTCCTCTTCTTCCATTGAGCATGCTAGGAGCCAGATGTGACATTATTGGGCCTTAGGCTTTATGTTACCTATTTCCAAATTTATAATGTAGGGTATTTGGAGTTCCCAAAATGCTTCCATGGAAAAAAGAGAGGAGAGAAAAACATCTGCAATGCTTTTTGATAAATGCATTGATAAGAAGACCCAAGCCAGCACATAACATGATGCTAATTGACTCTGGACAAGATTGATCAAGTTCTGTCAAAAGCTGAGAATACTGTTGCCGAAGTCAGGTTGACCTTTAGATGTACCTGATGACAAATGCAATTCTAATTCATTTGCCTAGAACATCACTCTGCTAGAGGACATTTTCTTCAAAAACTACTTCGTAGTAAATAACTGAAACACACGTTATATTTCATTGCCAAATAGCATTAGTGATATATCTCTGCTTTAAACAAATGATTTATATTCATATTGTTATGAATTATTATTTTTTTTGGGGGGGAAGGAAGTCGCCTGTAGGCAATATCCTTCTATCCTTTTGGTCCACCAAGTGTTAAAATATAACACAGGCTACCTTCCTGTGTTGAGGTGATAGCCTGGGCGATGGGCCATTAGGGAAGCAGAGGAAAGGGACTCTGTGTGAGACTGCAAATGGGTGGAGCTCAGCAGATAGTTAGAACTCAGCATAGGCACCAGCTCCTCAAGGCTGAAACACTTTGCTCCCCCATTATGGTTTTTTTAAGGGGGCCAGGCCCCCTCAATGTTCACAGGGTATTTGATTCTGCCCCCTGGCTCCTCACGTTGTCACGTGCATGATGTGAGGACGTCGTGTCGAGCCCCCTCGATCATCTTGAGAAGCTGGTGTCTCTGAAGCTCAGAGATAGAAGGACAAAGGCTGAGTTTAGAGTTGAAAGTGTCAGTGATGTGACTTAGAAGTAAAGCAACAAGCTGGGGAGAGAGTCAGAGCACCGTTTGGGAGCAATGATAGATTTCTGTTTGAATCCAAGGCTGCGGCTATGGGAGAAAAGAGACCCTTTGCGGGTGTTGATGCTGTGAAGCCCTCAATCAATGGTTCAGGTTTTATATGTGTGTAAATAAACCATATATAATAAAGACACCATGGTTTCCATTGTGCCTCATTCCAAAAGGAAACATGAACCCTGGGTAAGCACCCGGAACCCCAGGAATCTTGTGCCACTCAGAGATTGGGATGGCGTGCAATGATATCATATCATATTATATTACACACACACACACATTATTTCATTGTCCCCACTGGTATGGGACAAGCTATTACAACAACAGATCCATTGTGAGGAGAAAGCACTAGAAATTTATGAGGGTCTGCCACCTCTCATTTATACATACACAAGATTAACTTTTGGCAGCCAGCCCCCAGACAGACAGTGCTAGTTAGCAAAGCATCCTTAGTATATTATTGGAGTGTATGTATACACATACATATATCAACTTTCTGTCAGCCAGTTAAAAACCACAGATTTCTTTCTTCTTCAGCCCTAGTTGAGGTGTCTACCAACTAGTAGGTGCCACCCATCAAAGCCCACCAATGCTCACTGGGTGAGAGTCATCAGCTAGCAAAACCTTTACCATTCGCTATCCTGTGTAGCATCACTGTTTCCCCAGGCAGCTGTTTCTTCCCTCATACTTCCCTCATTCCAGTGACTGTATAAGCAACCCTAGCCAACTTCAGGCCATTTGGTAAGCAGGATGATGTCACAAAGCTACATAGCTAATAAGATTTGACTATGTAATAGTATTAATTCTAGTAAGGGAAGTCAGTTATGTGAAATTAAGAGAGGATCAAGCAATTCTGCAATTTCATAATTTCAACACTGCCAATGATGTTCGCAGAGTAACAACCACAACCCTCTGAATAGTTTCAGCTCAACCACATCTTCCCATTGGACATCTCTTCCTACGATAAATACTCACAATTTATACATCTGTTGCTTTTGCCAGACAAATTGTATGCATCCCAAACCCTTCTCTTTTCATTATTATTCATTTTACTCTGTGGCATAACATGATCCCTCACAAAATATAGTATACTCTAATTAAGTTCAAACAGAAATAGTAAACACGTTATGTGGTTTTTCCCCTCAGATACAAGTCCCCCCCCCATTTCCACAGATGTGGAATCTATCAAATTATTTGTGGCAAACAAACACTGGATTTAGTTGACAACTACAAACAGAAAGCTCCGACTACAAAGGATATGTGTCTTGCAGCAGAACAGAGCACTCACCTGTCAGTAGCAAAGTCTGCAGGATGGTACCACACAGTCTTGTCATCCTCGCCATCAAAGGTAAACTATTAATATGTAACAGGCAATAACAAAGCAGCTTCAGATCAAATCAATTATTCACTCAATGCAACACACTCTACAACTCTATTTTTTAAACTAGTAAATCTGCAAAGGGAATACATTTTCTCGATACCAGATTAAAACATTTATGGATATTAAAAAAGAAATAAAGATAGCTCTTTAGCAATTTGAAAAAAACCCTGAAAAAACAACAGTCTTTAATGTTTACTTCCAACCAATTCATAGCACTAAACCTTTTAGTTAGGTAATTTTAGATTCTGGACTTAATAGTCTCCAGACAAACACCCCCTTTCTTTAGATGGCCTTGTGTGTTGATTCACTTACTTCTATTAATTCCTTTAATATTTTGTGTGTATGTGTGTGTGTGTGTTGAAACATGGCTTAATACAAACCACAAGTGTTTGTTTTCTTTGTGGTAGTAATCCAGGAAAGTGGTTCTATGTTTAATGATTTTTGCCTGAAGCAAAACTCTATGTATATTGAGAAAGTTTTGCTAAAATGAAACATTTGTAGGGATTTTGAGGGAAGACAGATGTCATTGAAGAAAATTAGCAACATTTACCCAGGGAAGGTCACATACTCTTACGCTATCCAGTCATGTTACTTAATGCTGTTGGAAGTCAATTTGGAGGCGTCTGTGCTAGCAGAATATGTGTAGAACATTCCCTGGGAAATTCAGGGAAATCCAGTAACACAAGCGAAATTTCTCAGGGGGTGGGGAGCTGCACACACCCCTACAAACATCAAACCAACATTACTTGTGATTGCATTCTATAGGTATGGCATTGTTGCAATTGGTATGTGGAGATAATTTGAAAACTGCTTGCACAGTGATTGCTCCATATATTAGCCCTGACATACAGCCCAGGTATGGTGGGCTGTATGTCCCTAGACAGGAGGGAAGAGACTCTCCTTTCAATGAAAGTAATATGTTGAGCTGCTCTTTAAGCTACAGCTGTGTGGAACAGTTGCCACAAGACATCTACAGCCTAGTGCTGTTGCTCATAATTATAATTACCGGACACGATCCTAAATGTCTGAATTACGGAATACTCTTCTACTCATTTCCAGTGTAGGAAGTGTGGTGTTTGCCTCCTAGGTTGGGTCATAAGGAAAGGGTTAAAATGGGTGTGATGTGATTGGCCAGTGAGAATGCAAGGGGGGGAATAAAAGTTAGAGTGGGAGATTTTGAAAGTCAGTTGAGGTTTGGGAGTTGAGAGTTGAGGTTTGGGAGTTGAAGAAGGAAGAGGGAGGTTTAGGTGTGGGTTGGTAGAGTTGTATTGTGAGAGAGTGAGAGGAATTGTTAGGGGGAGTCAGATAGATAGTTGGGAATAATCAGTTTGGAGTTGTTAGGAACTAAGAATAAGAAACTGACAAGAGAAAAATTAACTGAAATCATAAGCTTGTGCCTGCATTTAAAAATAAACTTGATTATTTGTTTATGTTAACAACTGACTGGACTCCGTGTGTCCCCGTGAGATACGGGGTGGTGGCAGCGGAAAAAGCAATCGCAGTGGCGGCACAAGGTCAATAGACCGTCAAACGTCCGGGGGCCCTGTGTGTGATCGCCACAGGAAGCACCAGCTTTTGTTTCTTCTGTTTATTTCTTATATTTCTTATATTGCTGCAGACCCATTCTTTTTTCTCACTTTCTTTTCTGTACGCTCCTACCTTGATATACAAGATGCACTGTGCAACTTTTATGACCCCTTGGACTTACGCTGCTGAATTGGCTTTCAATAATAATGAGTCTGTTTCAGCTCTCTCTATATCCTTTTATGGCTGTTTATGCTGTTGTGTGTGGTGGACTGAAAACACTAATATGATCTATGCCATTGAAGATTTCATATATACCAAGGGTTAGTTCTCACTGAAGTGATAGAACTGTGTATTAGACTGTAAAACTTCAGACTGAAGGTAAAGAATATTCTAAACAAACAAACCAGCTACACACAAGCCTTCTTCAGGCATTATCACCAGAAGGAGGAACACAGGAAGACTGGGGTGTGGGAGGGGGCTGCCCATTTTGCCCCACCCTGCAGCCCAGTGGCTCCGTATACGAATATTGTGAACTTCTGCCTGGACCTTCCTCCCTACAGAGATTCGCTGTAATCATGGAAGGAGCTGGTGAAAGTCATGCATCCCTGGGGGAGCAACATGTATATCACTGAAGTCCCACTCTACCCATGTTTCTTCTTCTTGTAATAGTGCCGAAAGAAGGCTAAAAACAAACAAACAAGGGTTCTCAATTGACCTGCCATGTTAGGGTTATGTTTTTATTTTTTAATGTGCAGTGAATTTATTCGGAATAGAGGAGCCCAAACTACAGACTGAAATGGTACAGCCCCAACACGTCTTTACTATCTTGGTGACAACTAGACTCAGCTTAAAGCTATTCAAGGTGTTTGTCTTCTGAAATGTCCTAAGGCTTTTTAGAACAATCTACAATCTATATGGGAAACAATGCAAAGGAAGATATGTATTTGCTAGGTTGCACTCTGATTCTCATATGCATGTCCATCACATAATTTATCATTGTTTAAAGCACAAGTGCAAGTAGATAAATAGGTATCGCTCCGGCGGGAAGGTAAATGGCGTTTCCGTGCGCTGCTCTGGTTTGCCAGAAGCGGCTTAGTCATGCCGGCTCCCTCAGCCAGTAAAGCAAGATGAGCGCTGCAATCCCAGAGTCGTCCGTGCCTGGACCTAACGGTCTGGGGTCCCTTTACCATTTTAAATATGCAACATTTGATGGCTTGCAGCTGAATGGGTAAACTGCCTCAAGTCAAGGGAAGGATGGAATTTGAATCATACCTCATTGCTGATGATAGGACAGCATTGTGCTGCACCTGAAAGTAGTAGAGTCCCTGCCCGCAGGCTCATAAATTGAAAGGACACAAGGAGAAGGGGATTCAGAAGGCAGAGGAAAAGAAGCAACTCAATTCTAAATGTTACAAGGCTCTTATAATGACCATCTGGGATGGAAATTGACTACTCACTGTTGAAAAAACAGGCCTTGTTGGCCCTCTAAGAAAAAAACACTTGGTGATCAGAACTTCCTGAAAGTGGTGGTGAAGGAATGGGTTTCCAAAACCCAAAACTGACTGTGCAGGCAGTTTTTAAACTGCACCAAAATCCCCATTTCTCCTTAGCTAAAATGCATAAACTTTAGCCATTGAGCAAATGCAAAACAAGAACACAGCTCTCTCCCTTATCAGTTTGACGGCAAGACTGGCCTTGACTTTACCAGCAGAACAGACACAGACATATCTTATGTCCTGACCACAAATGACGCAGAGACCCAAGTCTGGGACTAACGCCAGAGCATGTTCTCGGAAGTAGTGACCTCTTGCTCCAAGATAGGAGTAGGAACAGGAATATCCTTTTATGGTCAGGAGTGCAGGAAGGAAATCCCTCTTATGGTTAAGAGTGCCGGAGCAGGAACATATGTGATGTCAACCTACGTATACAAGCTGACATGGTTGGAAGGAGGGAGAGGGTGCCTGGAGGGTATATATACTGCATGAAACTTGTCATTTCTTTGGACTTGCTGTGGACTCACCACGCAAGTGCCTTCTGCTATCCGGAGAGCAGAATAAACTCTTTCTTTGAACCAACTCGGTGTCATTTTGACTTCCTTCCTCCTGTCACGGAGCAACGCAGACCCAATCGGTGAACTCCAATAAGGCTACATTTCTTGGTGCATTGGCCGGGAATCCGCGTTCTCCGGGGACAGGACAAAGGACCGAGGCGTCACTGCGAAGCAAACAGCTCGGTCGGCGTCGGTGGCTCCAAGCGCGCACCCTACCATTTCTAGGGGGAGCCCCCCACCCCGTACCTGAGTGGAGATGCAGCAGAGACGGAAGAAAGACAGCAGCTGCACGGGGGAAAGGGCGCCCAAGGGAAGGGAAAGGTAGGCTCCACAGCTTGTTTGTGGGAGTCAGGGGTTTGATCAGCCCCGCCCAGTAGGAGCAGTAAAGTGCCGCTGGGTTTAGCCAGTAGAGAGCAGTAGTGTGCCGCTGGTTTGCCGGTAGAAGAGCAGTAAAAGTGCCACCGGCTTTGGGAAGGTTGTGGGTAAAGGGGATTGGGGAGGTGCATGGGTTTTGTATGTGTATGGGGGTTTGTATGTATGTGTATTTATTTGCGTATGGGGACACTCCAGTGAATGTTTTGAGTGGATGAGCCGTTGGGGCTCAGAGCCACTGACGAAGCGAAGTGTGGTCCTTGTAAGGTGCGGTTCCTAGCGACGCGAGTCCGTCTAGGCCACTAAGAGGACGAGGAGAAAGGTGACTGGGTGAGAAACAACTCTAGGTGGACGGAGTGTCTCAGGGCTATGGGGAAAAAAAAACAACAACCCCAAAACAAAACAAACAGCAAACCAACCCCTTTGCAGTGTTTGTTCTTTTTGGACAATTGGAAATGTCAAGCTACAGTTGAAAAAAACCCTTTAAGCTCCTTTCTGTATTCTGGCAGTGACCAGCATAGGTGCGTCCAGTTGGCTTGTATTGTATTGCCAACACGTGGGGTCCGGGAAAAAAAAAGATATGTGCTCTGCAGAGGCGCGCCAGGAATAGAACCCTGCATGAAGGGGTTCTCAATTCGGCCACATTCACTGTGCTGCATGTTAAGGGATTGGGAAACAGACCTTAAAACACCTAGAATCTTGCACAGTACAAGTATAAAAAGGAATTATTTGGTCTTTAACACTAAAAGTGACATGAGTTGCTCATGAGGTCAAATTTTATATTTTCATGTTAAAGGTGGGAAGGTTTCAATTACTAATACAATCATGTAATCATGTACTGGTTTCAGAATTTGAGTGTCATCAATTCACTGTGCTTTGAGCTACCTGGTATCTTAATATTTTTGTTAAAAGTTTGTTTCTTATTGACTCTGTTGCATAGGTACCCTGGGTGATTTAGAAACCACTTGTTAAATGTTGATCAAAAGTAAAAATGTACAAATGTATGGGAAAAGGTAGTGTTGTCA